CAAAATGGTGACTTCCACTTGCTGGATGGTGTATTTATAAATAGCAGAGTGGGGTTGCCCTGGAATTGGAGCTGTTTGCACCGAAGTCCGACCACATTGGAATTGACAATGCCAGTTCTTGACTACATCATATGATGGGGAATCATTACCATAAACCTTTTTTATCTCATCAAACATCTCCTTTGTTGTGTGGCCTTTCAAGTAAAGGAACTTGATGACTGTTCTATATTTGACTGGGCCCATTATCAAACCTCACACCACTTCAGCACCTGTACAATCAAGATTGTTATCAGTTCTGAGTTGTAAACTGGCATGTAACCTGTAGAGACTTATATCATTACACATATGCAACTTCAGTATCCTATGATAAATAGGAGTGGGTCAGAGGAAATATTTAATTAATGCCCCTCTTACGATGACAAATATATAGATCCTAGATTACTAAACTATCACACTTTGAACATATCATAAAAGTTCCCTAGAAGTCAAGAAGCCAGATAAACTGATACTGTTGTAATGTGGACATATCACAAAAAAGTATGATTCACTACAAAATGCAATAATACTTGGTAAAGTAGAAGTCAATAGTAAAAGAGGAAGACTGCATTCCAGATGGTTGGGCCCAATCAAGGACTGTTGATGATAGGGTGACTGGGAGGTCTCTCATTCATATGGTCACCATAAGGTTGAAGTCAGCTTGACAGTAGTTAATAACAACATATCTGTGCTAATAAATTATCATGTATCCCGTGTTTTTCTTCTTCAGTCATGTCATTTGGAAGCATGTGATAAATAGCACCTTGTGACAGTTATAGAATATATAAATGAGAATTATCACATCTGCAATAAATAAACCATATCAGTCTGTCACTCAGATGGATTTTGTCTTTTAGTTTAGATTGTAATTTCATGGATCAGGACAATTTTATTTTTATTTTATTTTAATGTAATACATAATGTTACTGTGCATAATTGTGATGATTACTGTGGTTGCCAAACATAATGGTTGGGGTTCAGATTTTGACAGGTACAATTGAGGTGAAGGGAGAGGAACTCCTAGCCATGAAAGCAGTTTTGACAATGCCATATCACAAGTTGGTGGACCATACTGAATAGGTCAAACTGAATAGAATATGAGAGATCCCTCCAAATCAGATTGAGAGAAAACTTATGTGAGCCAAGTGGCTTCATCCATCAAAAGTAGATTCCAGCTCCAACCCATTAGTGAATTATCCATCTGTGAGGCCACACAGATTTTGCAGTGTACAGACTGAAGCTACACATTCTACCATGCAGGGAATAGTTTTCACACAAAAGTCCAAATACTATGTGTAATGAGGTATGGCTGCTGCAGCTTTGAATGCACTGGATTTGACATGATCCAAAGCAATGGCAGTTGAAATGTTGTTAGTAAATCCCAATGAGAGAAAGACAGACATGTGCAAAGGAATGTTGATGATTGGAAGTATCGTTTGCCTGAGCAAAATAATAACTGATCAAGAGAGAGAGATGAATAGACAGGTCAGGCTACTCTTCCAGAGTCTTTTGACATTCCTCATCCCACTTCCAAAGATGCTCCTGAGCAACAAAATAAAGTCTTGAACAATCCTTTGGTGGAAAGCAGAAGAAAGCACTATATGCAATACTGGTGCTGATTAATTATCAAAAAGCATCCAGGGTTGGAGACACAGGCAGGCTGTTGGTAAACAGAATCTGGAAAAATAGTAAGCCACACCATTATAAACTAATATTGTAGATGCTTGAACAGCAGGAGACTTTAAAAAAACATTGACCATAATGCTGTTGACACATTACACCTATGTAACTTAGCTTGTGTAAATAATAGTAAGAGGGGTAGTGACTTTGCAGTAGGTAAAGTGAAGGAGAAATAGGTTCCATGGGATTGGCAGATTTTGTCCTAAATCACATTGGTTAGTTCTGACTACAATAAACCCTTGTGCCTGCAGGACTGAAGACTGACAGGTCAGTTTGAATCCAAACTGAGAGTGTGGATGAGATCCCTCTGTCAGCTCCAGCTCCCCATGTGAGGACATGAGAGAAGCCTCCCACAAGGATGGTAAAACATCTGGGCATCCCCTGGGCAACATCCTTGCAGACAGCCAGTTCTCTTACACTAGAAGCAACTTGCAGTTTCTTAAGTCCCTCCTGACACCAAAAATCCCCCCAAAACCACACATATAAATCCCATTAATACAATGCTCTACTCTGGTTTTGATTAGAAATAAGATTCTGGTTCCTGACACTGCAGTCTAAGAGGAGAAGGAAGTAGATAACTGAGATTATATCCACATTGTCATATAATTCAGATTATTAAATCATATAATCTGGATTGTTTTGAACTGGATTGTTTGAATCTACACTGCCAGATAATCCAATTCAAAGAAGATAATCTGGATTTTATATGGCAGTGTAGATGGGGTCTGAGATGGCAGATACTGGGTGTTGTGGAGAGAGAAGCAACTGCAGCCTAGGCCCAGTCTACTATGGTCAGACTTGTACGATTGTATGCATTGATTCTGTTGGTGGAATGTACTGGTGGAACTCTGGCCTCATAGGAGGGAAAATGTTATGATATAGAGGTTCCAAATCAAAGGGAAGTTATTGGCAAAGCAGGCTTTTTCAGTTTTTGTCTATCTGCCTTCACTTATTTGTGCTGCCTTAGAAAAAGGCAGTCACTAACATCTAGTGCACTAATATGTTTAAAATCCTAATCTTCACACCATAAAATAATCTGGTGCAATGAAGTAAAGTGGTGTTCCATCACTTGAAGTAAAGTTGAGCCTCCAACTCAATTGAGTCCTAGAAATTGTAGTGAGCACTTGTGTGTATGCCACCTTGTTTTTCGATCCAAGAAGCTTAATGACTTTGACCATTCCTTGCCTGCAGTTTCATTTAGAAACTATCAAGAGATGCAGAATTGAAACTCTTTCAGAAGCTTAAAAGATTCACCTGTCAGTCTGGATTATTTTATGAATCCATGTGAAATATCCACCTGAAGCCATTAGGAGAGTTGCATAGTTTTAATACGTATGTTTTGTGGTTCCTTACAGAAACTTACTTTTTGAAACAATTTATACACCAAAGTTATGAGCAATTTCTCCATATTTGAGCATAAATGTTTACTGTGGATGGGATGTGAGATGGTCTGGTGGTTCCAAATAAAATTTTGGTAGAAGCTCACACATTTGTTTCTCAAACTGGCATCCTTCCTTATGGACATGGGGATGCAGCCTTAATTTAGACTATTGTGTTTAGAAGGACATGGGTAGGAAAGTTGTGGCTTTCCTGATGACAGTTTGGAAAAATCATTTTCAGGGTATACAGATTCTGAGTTGATGCATCCAGCATACCTCTAAAAAATAATGTTTCTATGTTCTCTTCCAGAAGTTGTTGGGCTACAACTCTCATTATCTCTCAGAAGTTACTATGCTGATTAGGCCTCATAAGTGCTACAGTCCAACTACATCTAGAGAGCAAATGATCCCTCCCACCAGAACTATAAAGATCATTTCTGTGTGAGAGTATCTCAATTTTTCAAATAATAAATGAATGACACTTGCTTCTGAGTAAATGTGCTTGGGATTGGACTGTGTCATTGCAATTCTATTCATGTCTATTCATAAAAAGTTTCTACTAAATTTAATGGGATTTACTCCCATGAAACCACATATAGATTGCAGCTCATGTATCCTTTAGGTAAAGGTTTTCCCCTGACATTAAGTCCAGTCATATCCGACTCTGAGAGTTGGTGCCCATCTCCATTTCTAAGCCGAAGAGCCAGCCTTGTCCGTAGACACCTCCAAGGTCATGTGGCCGGCATGACTGCATGGAGCGCCATTACCTTCCCGCCAAAGTGGTACCTATATATTTACTCACTTTTTCATGTTTTTGAACTGCTAGGTTGGCAGAAGGTATCTTTAAGACAGTACCCTTAATTTGGGTCATCCTTAATAAGGACATAGAGGTAGATTTCACTCCAGTTGTCAATCATGACCACTGGCCATGGCACCCAGATTACACTGCAAATCATACTTCATATAAAAACTTAAAATACTTATTTCTGCATGCACAGTATATGTTGATAGTTGGATATGATTGTTTTTTGTCACCTAGGACAGGGATTTGTAAAATATGGCCATTCATATGTTAATCCCTCCGCATTGGCCATGCTGGCTAGAAGTAAATGAGAATTGCAGTTCAGAAACACACAAAGGGCCATATCTTCTCCAGAAACCTTCTCTAAAAATGCCAAATGTCACAGTCATTTTTAAAGCAAAGATTATCCAGTTGCTTGTTGCTGTTGTTATGGGACTTCATGTCAACCCCTATTCATGGAGAGCCTCTCATAGACTTTCTTGGCAAGATTTATTCAAAGAAGGCTTTCCATGGTCATCTTCTGAGGGATAGAGCATATGACTTATTCATGGTCCCAACATCAGTTTTCATGGATGCATTGGGATTGAAACTCTAGTTTTCCATAGTTCTGGTTCAGCATTCAAATTACTACACTTTGCTGGCACCCCATCCACTCAAATATTTATTAAAGTAGCTTGGAGTTCCAGGAACTGGAAGAATTAAGATCCGACAGTTGCTGGGCCAAGAGCATAAATGCCCTAAAGGCACCAATCACATCTGGTTATGAAAGCTAAACAAGTTCAGTCCTGGTTAGTATTGGGATGGGAGACCACCAATTAGTACCAGGTACAGTAGACTATATTTAAGAGGAAGGAATGATTGCCAAACAAATTCTGAGTGTTCCTTGGTTAAGAAAACCTTATGAAATTTGTGGTGTCATCATAAGTCACAGGCAACTCAAAAGCACATGCAACTCAAAAACACACATAGTTACTGGGCAAGGGTTTCATTCACGTGCCAGACCTTTTTATTTTTTGCTTCCTTGCCTCATATATATGCAATTAGGTTCTCCTCCCCTCCCTCCCAAAAAATAACTTTTGTAAAATCATATTGTTTTATTTTTTAATTTTTATTGAACATTTTGTTATCTTGTGTATTACATTATCATGGCACCCTGGAGAAATATGTCATCCAAATATCCCAAAACAATTGGTTCAGGGTACATCTCTCTGGTCCCCTTCCCACCTAGAAGTAAAACAATAGATTCCCATTGTGTGTTTTAATTATATATTTATTCACTGCTGTATTTTAAATGGATGGAGGGAAATATCAATATCAGAGCTGGAATCCACCAGAAGGCACAGATTTTGGTGAAACTGGCAGAAGAAACTGAAATCACCTGGAGTTGTGCACCGCCCACATGAAGATGTTAGCATTCCAGGTTTATAAAAAATAGTAATACATGTTTTATTTTATTTTTCAATAAAAGACTTCCAATACTTTTCTTCTTTGAAATAATATCCAGGTTCCCTTGAGATCAAGTGGAATCAGATGACAAATGTATGCTATACTTTTTGATGGTAAAAGCTCTATGTAGTGTATTACAACTCTCAATATTTGCTGGAGTTAGGGGCACAGAATCCTATGAAGGTGAAAAACCATGAATACAGAAAAAAATTGAGAAAGAGAACACTTCTCTAGGAATTTCTAGTTCCTCCAGCATGACTGCAAGGTCAAGGTCCATTGGAAGTTGATTATAGTATCATCACACCAGAGGAGGCAGAAGTTCCTAGAAAAGTGCTTTCTCTAGAACTGGATCTACACTGCCCTATATCTCATGATCTGATCCCAGATTATCTTCTTATCCCAGATTATCTGGCAATGTAGACTCAGACCCCTCCTAGACTGCCATATAATCCAGATTATCAAAACAGATAATCCAGATTATCTGCTTTGAACTGGATTATATGAGTTTACATTGCCACATAATCCAGTTCAAAACAAATCATCTGGATATTATATGGCAGTGTAGAAGGGGTCTCATATATAATCCAATTCAAATAAGATAATCTGGGATCAGATCCTGGGATATAGAACAGTGTAGATCCAGTCTAGAAATCTTCCCACATGACCAGAAAAAGTTGACTATAGAGTTTCACTGAAGGACCTAACAGTGGTTCCCAACCTTTGGCCTTTCTGGTGTTTTGGACTTCAACTCCCAGAAATCCCAGCCAATTTACCAGTTGTTGGGAATTGGGGATCTGAAGTCCAAAACACCTGGAGGACCAAAGGTTGGCAACCACTGACCTAGAGATTCCTAGGAGAGAAAAAAAGCATGAATCTAAGGCCCCATCTACACTACCCTTATAATCCAGTTTCTAAATTCAGATGATCTGATTTGAATTGGATTATCTGGCAGTGTAGAGTCAAATAATCCAGTTCAAAGCACATAATCTGGATTCAGAAACTGGAATATTTGAAAGTGTAGATCCAGCCAAGTATGTGAATAATCAGACCCCAACTACACTGCGATGCAAAATCCAGATTATTTGCTTTGAATTGGATTATATGGCAGTGCAGACCTATATAACGTAGTTAAAAGCAGATAATCTGGATTATCTACTTTGATAATTTGTATTATATGGCAGTGTAGATCCAACCTTAGATCCGCAAAGATCAAATCCTCGGATGTAGGGGGCCAAGTGTAATTTTTATTTCCCCTCCTCTGTGTCACTCCACCAAAATAGTCCTTTTGTAGCAGTATAAAGAAACATTTATACTGTGCAAAGATTCATGAACCTCTGACAAAAATGAGTGTTGACCCCTGCAGCCCAGACTGCTTGGATGGAGCTCTTACCACAGTTTTTGGAAGCAACTTGGGAGGAAAGTAAAGACTCAAGAGACAGAAGAAGGACTGCCATGCTGAGGATCTTCGTGCAGCCTCTGCAATGTGGAAGTCCCTCCCAGATTTTCTTGGAAAGCTTTCCCACTTTCCGAGGCTGCAAAACATCTTGATGGCCCACCAAGGCGGTGTTTCTGACCCCGCCGTCTGTCCGGATCTGGTGAACGCCTCATCCGGAGTGAAATCAGTGGGACTCATTTCCCCCTCAAGGCAACTGCAGTCCAAAGCAGAGCTTGGGAAAGTCACCCGTTGTTTGGACTCGGGCTTCCTGAGTTTTCCACCCCAAACAGCACGGTGCTAGCTCTCTGCAGGGCCCTCAGAGCCGGAGTCCCACACTTGGTAGCTTTCCCAAAGTCTGATCCAGTGAAGGATGAATTCTGTCCAACCCACTGAAACCAGAAAGGGCTGTAAATGACTCTCTGGACCACATAAAAATGATGCGTTCAAGCTCCCTCCTACATAGAATCATAGAATCTTACACCTCATCACACTACACTTTAAAGCAGGCATCCTCTCCAGCTATTTTGGGCCTCCAACTCCCAGAAGCCCTAGCCAGCTTGTTAGGTGGTCAAGAATTCTGGGAGTTGGAGGCCAAAACAGCTGGAGGGCCGCAATTTGACGATGCCTGCTTTAAAGAGTGAGTTGCTATCCCACTGTAAATCTTATGACTGCCTCCTGCAGTATTCTGGGGTTTGTAGCATAGGGCCCTTCCACACAGCCATATAACTTAGAACAGGGGTCCTCAAACTTTTTAAACAGAGGGCCAGGTCACAGTCCCTCAAACTGTTGGAGGGCCAAATGAATTCCTATGCACACTGCACATATCTTATTTGTATCCGCCCTGGCCTTTGTTTGATGACCCCTGACTTAGAATATCAAGGCAGAAAATCTCATATCTGCTTTGAACTGGGTTATCTGAGTCCACACTCAGATAATGTGGGATTTCCTGTCTTGATATTCTGGGATATGGGGCTGTGTGGAAGGGCCCTTAGAGAGGCCCAGAACCTTTCTGGCTGTGATTGTTAAAGGCCTCTCCCTAAATTACAAACCCCAGAATTCTACAAGTGAGAGTCACAGGATTTAAAGTGGTATGCACTCTTTTACCTACTATTTAAAGTGTAGTGTAATGAAGGAAGGGATCGCTAAGGCCATACAGCCCAACCCCTTGCCACGCATTAAAACACAATTGTGAGAGATACTGATACTAGAATAGGGGAAGGTGGTGCTTTCTAAATGCTTCAAAGTGCAGGGCCCATCAGAACAAGCCAACATAGTAAGGAATTGGGGCTTTGTGGGAGATGTACATTGTTAGTGTGTGCCTTCAAACAGTCTTTCTTCTGGATTGTCTTCTCTTCAGTAAGCATAGTAACCCCAGAATTTATCTAAACAAGATGATTTCAATTGAATTATCTTCTATCTCCTTTCGATTTACTTTATGGAAACTAAATATCTGGTTTCAGAGCGATCTTGCAGTTACCTCTTTTGGGGTGAAGAAGGTCTGTAGCCAGGGATCCAGTGACTCCTCAGGAGGCTTGCCCTAAAGGTCTGAGAAACTGAAATATTATTATTGTTATTTATGAACTTTTGGAAAAATGAGTAATATCTACCTGGAAGTTCCCCAGCACAAGATCTCCCAAAACACAGTGTTCAAGAAAGTGACTCTTTTGGATGACACCTCCCATAATTCTCATGCTTTCAGGGGGTTCTCTGAGTTGTAGTCCCAAATAGTCACATTCCCAAGAGGGGTTGGAGTACCTGGGATCTGGCAGAGAGGCACCATTAAGCAAAGGGTGCACCTACACTGTAGAATTAATGCAGTTTGACACTACTTCATCTGCCAAGCCTGATTTTTGGAAAGTTGTATTCATAACATTTTGGAAACATACCTTTCAGAGAAAAGCCAAAAACCTTTTAGAATAGAATCTTCTCTTGTGGTATACAACCAGATGTAATTATGCTAGGTGATGGTTTCAACTGTTAGACTGAATAACCTGTTATCTCTGATCTTAGGAAAACAAATATTTGCTAGTGAATAAAAACAGCAGAGCTTTAGACTTATTTTTCAGTGCTTATACACACACACACACACACACACACACACTCCTATAAAACAACTTGTTTTATATCATGCACTCAAAAGACAAAATGTAGTAGACTTTGATAAAAATAACATATTTGGTTTACTCACAACCTTCATGTGTTCAGCATACACAGGTACAAAACTTATCAGTCCAGTTTCAGATATGTTTGAGATAATTCTCTGTGCCATCCTGCCTGAACATCTCTTACAGCACAACAGCAACCACGTGTGCTATCTGAGGTCTGAAGTGGTCTGTAGTCTGCTGGTAGTGATCATGTGGTCTGCAGCCCCTTTTATAACTTCTCAGGAACCACAGAGTAAAGGAAGCTGCATACCAGAACATGCATATAGGAAACAATAAGCAACAGGTTCATAGATAAAGATTACTAGAGAAGGCTTGAAGAAGGTTGGCATTTCCAACAGTGATGCTATGAATTCCTGAGATTTGTAGTTTGTTGAGGAACTAGCACTCTTTGGTGGAGAAGACTACAGACATTGTAAAACTACAACTCCCATGACTCTACAGCTTTCAGCCATTGCAGTTAAAACAGTGACAAACTGCATTGGCTTTACAGTGTAGATGCACTCTTAAATCATAAATCATAAGTCTTCCAGTTCCAGCAAACCCTTACCTTATTTTGTTGTCATAGGTTGGCTTCCTTCCATGAGCTATCTCCATTTGAAACATCTGATCCTAAATGTGGAGGAGACTTAACAAAAAAGAGAGGAGGCACAGAGAGAGAGAGAGAGAAAGGGAGGAAATAATCTCTAAGGAACAGGAGAGTAGAAAAGAAGGTCCATCCATCCATCTTCTTCCAGTGGAGAAGATATAGTAGGCCTTTGGAGACTCCTATGTAGAAGTAATCTTGAATGAATTCAAGGGGGTTGCTTTCCAAATAGATGGGGTGCATCTACACCAGTCATGAGCAAACTTCGGCCCTCCAGGTGTTTTGGACTTCAACTCTCACAATTCCTAACAGCCTAGCGGCTGTTAGGAATTGTGGGAGCTGAAGTCCAAAACACCTGGAGGGCTGAAGTTTGCCCATACCTGATCTAAACTCTAGAATCAATGCTTGTCACTGCGTTAACTGCCATGACTTTAATGCTGTAGAGCAGTGGTTCTCAACTTGTGGGTCCCCAGGTGTTTTGGTCTCCAACTCCCAGAAATCCCAGCCAGTTTACCACCTGTGAGGATTTCTGGGAGTTGAAGGCCAAAACATGTGGGGACCCACAGGTTGAGAACCACTGCTGTAGAGAGTCATGGGAACTGTAGTTGTGCAAGGTCTTTAACATTATTTGCCAAAGAGTGCTGATGCCCCCAACAAATTACAACTCCCAGGATTCCATAGCAGCAAGCCATGGCAGTTGTTGTTAAACTGTGGTCATTCTACAGTATAGATGCACCTATGGAAAAGATTGGGCCCTTCATAATAAACAATCTAATTGAAGTCCTCTAAAGCAGGATTTTATAATATCAAAACTGCAACTATGTGGTGAATAAGTTCAGACAGGGACCCCCCCCCCCAAATAACAAAACATTTGAAAAAAGAAAATGTTCTGTTCCTGGTTTGAAAGTGTTATTTCCTCTTTAATTGTGCATTATTTACTTTGAAAGTAGAACTTACTTTGTTCTACTCCAGAAACTTTGTTTTTTGTGGCTGCCACAAACTATGTCGAATTGGTTGAGAGATTCATTGAAAAACTAGAGCAAAAAGTGCTGCAGGATGTCCCAGAAAAACAAAGTTTTTGCAGTTTAATAAACTTTTGCATTAATAACCCAAGAACAAAAATACTGTTACAAATTTAATTTTTAATATGAAAGTGTCCAATATTGGCATGGTAGGCTGTTGAGACACAAAGCTGTATGTTTACAAATATATATTTAAAAATAATATGTATAATAATACCATCAACTAAAACAGTTAACAATCCCATTATCATAAAGAAAATGGCAAAACTTTAATTCGAACGTTATAAAATCTTTTCAAGTATGAAATTAAAATATCAAAGGGATGGAGACGATGTATAAGAAGGTGCAGGGCTTTGAAGCTACAAAGCCATTCAATGCTAATCAAGGTGGCCAATTACAACATTCACATTTGTCCCAAACAGACAAAAAATAGGGGGATTCCAGACAGGAAACAATCAGGGCCACCTCCCAACAAAGGATTCCCCCAGGTGGGAAGTAGCCAGGCTTTGAAGCTGCAAAGCCATTCAATGCTAATCAAGGAGGCCAGGTGCAACATTCACTCTTGTCCAACAGACGGGAGTTCTTTCTCCCATCCTGGGCATTCCACAGACATATAAACCTCACTTGCCTAGTTTCCAACAGACTTCACAACCTTTGAGGATGCCTGCCATAGATGTGGGCGAAATGTCAGGAGAGAATGCTTCCGGAACACGGCCATACAGCCCGGGAAACTCACTGCAATCCTGATGTACTCGTATATGATCTTATTCAGCAAATACAAAGGAGAACACTTCTGTCTATTCTTCCTCAAGGGGTTCAACTATCCAGGAGTTTTGGAAGTGGGGGCTCAGACCTTAAGTCCATCCTACTGTGGGGCTCAAGCCCTTCAGAGATCCATAGGTTCAGGACAGCTCGGCCTTTACATTGCATCTGTACAGTTTGGCACCACTTAAACAGCTATGGCTACCTTCTATGGGGTCGTGCGAGTTGTAGGTTTCTTACAACACCAAAGAGAGTTCGTGCCTCATCAAACGACGACGTTTTGCTCCTCCTTTCTTCTTGAATCCGCAATGGTTTTCTTTCTCCTTGCGGATTAAGGCCTTTCCCCAGCTCCACCCTGCCGCCGCTGGAGCAGCTGTTGTCTCTTTTCTCCCTTTGTAGGGGGAATTCTTCTTTTCCTCTCTACGAACCCCGAGCTTTGCCCCCCGTTTCTTCAGACTCCGAGCGGGACATCCGATCCAAGATCACACGCTTTTTCTTGTGCCTCCCTAAATCCCCGAGTAGCCGTTGGACACTCGACCCCTTCCTTCAAAGGACTGTCAAAACTCCGCCCCGGGAGGGTTTCATCTGAATTAAATATTTGAGCCTGAAATCAAAACTTTGGCAAAGAGGTCGATGGGCATGAATGAGATTACTCCTCAAGAGTCGATGATATGCTGTTACTGTATATATCCCGAGTTTTCAGCCAATGATTATTGCTGGATCTGCACTGTTGATTGAATGCAGTGTGGCACCACTTGAATTGCCATGGCTCATTGCTCTGGGATCCTGGGAGTTGTAGTTTTGCAAGGTCTTTAGCCTTCTCTAACAAAGTCTTCTGGTGTCTCACCAAACTACACATCTCAGGCTTCTTTAGTTTTGAGCGATGGCAGTTAAAGAGGCGTCCCTTCAGGGAGAGAGGACAGGTTATAAATATATTATTATTATTATTGTTGTTGTTGTTGTTGTTGTTATTATTATTATTATGTAAAGGTAAAGATTTCCCCTAACCTTAAGTCTAGTCATGTCCATCATATCCGACTCTTGGGGGGTGTGTGTGTGCTCATCCCCATTTCTGAGCCGAGAGCCGGCATTGTCCGTAGACACCTCCAAGGTCATGTGGCCAGCATGACTGCATGAAGCGCGTACCTATGTACGTAGCGTGTTTTTTAACTGCTAGGTTGGCAGAAGCTGGAGCTTATTATAATTATCTTTATATTATGATAAAGAGCAATACTTAAAAAACAGGGGAAATCCAGACTAGAAATAATCAGGGCCAGCCAACACCAACCAACAAAGGATTCTCCCAGGCAGGAAGCAGCCAGGCTTTGACGCTGCAAGGCCATTCAGTGCTAATCAGATATATAAATCTCACTTACCTAATTTCCAACAGACCTCACAACCTCTGAGGATGCCCGCCATAGATGTGGGTGAAACGTCAGGAGAGAATGCTTCTGGAATATTGCCATACAGCCCGGAAAACTCACAGAAGCCCTATTATTATTATTATTATTATTACTACTACTATTATTATTATTAAAATGCATTAGTTCTCTAGTTGTGTGTGTGTGTGTGTGTCAGGAGGGAGTTGAGAAACTGCAAGTCGCTTCTGGTATGAGAGAATTGCCCGTCTGCAAGGAAGTTACCCAGGGGACGCCTGGGTGTTTGATATTTTACCATTCTTGTGGGAGCCTTCTTTCATATCCCAGCATGGGGAGCTGGAGCTGACAGAGGGAGCTCAACCCGCTGTCCCCGGACTGGAACCAGCAGTCCTGCCCGCACAAGGGTTTAACCCATTAGTCTTCGTCTTCTCAAAGGACGTCTTTGCCCTCCTTATAAATGTATGCTTTTAATGAGCTGAGCTCCGTGTTTATTTTATTTTTTTAGTACCTTGGAAGTCTTTCCATGTAAAGAGACGATTTCCTGATCTGCAGCAGGGCGAGCAAAAGGCGGTCTTCTCCTTCTGTAACATTTTGTGGCCTTCCTTGCTGGGAGGTTTGGAGTCTGCTCCTCTTTTGCAGTTTTACTTGTCCTTTGCGGCTGGTTTCACGAATGGAAACTCCTGTCGTCTTCCAGGATTTGAATCCAGGCCCTTCAAAATACCTGGTTCCTCTGAACGCCTCACAGCTCCCGCCCCAAAGACACTTGCAAAATACATTCTGGGGAAACAGTGGTGGCCAGTGGCCTCGCATCAAAATATAACACAACATTTACCATGTTTTGTGTTTTGTTGCATTTCTAAATCCTTAACAGGCTCAGGAGAATCCACTACCTGGAGAAACAAATGGATCCCGACCCAGAAATGCAACTCAAGACGTTCAGGAATGGATGGATGCCTTGCTTCAGCTCTGCCGCGATGGTGTGAGTCCTTGTTGACCAAAAGATATAGGAGTGTGGGTCAAAAAGTAATGCCTCCATCGCTCTAAACTTTATTTCTTTCACAGCTACTGGACTAGCTATATATGATATGATAGCGGGAACGTTACTCTACTGATATACATATATTGTTTTTCAGATTGACTTATGAGAGCCATTATTCTGAAGCTAAAAGAAAGAGTCGCCATTGAGTCGCCATTGAATTTCTGGCAAAAGAAGGTTGCACACCCAAGGAAATCCATAATCCCTAGGTTTCTGGGGAGGCGTTGGGTGAAGTTGAATGGTAGTTTTGTGTAGAGGACAGTCCAGGCTATGATCTGTGGCAACTTCTGTTGTTATATGTTAATGCATAACGTTTTTATGTCACAGGAGGCAAAACTTTTTGATCCACTCCATTCTAAGACTTCATTTTTCCGGGGAAGACAGCACTAGTGTATCCTAGAGAGGAATAGCTAGATCTAAGAATGCGGATTTCTTATGTGCAATGAATTAAACCCTTGTGCTGGTAGGATTGAAGATGGACAGGTCAGAGGTTCGAATCCGGAGAGAGCGAGGATGAGCTCCCTATGTCAGCTCCAGCTCCACATGAGAGAAGCCTCCCACAAGGATGGTAAACCATCAAAACATCCTGGCGTCCCCTGGGCAACGTCCTTGCAGACCAGAAGTTACTTACAGTTTCTCAAGTCGCTCCTGACACCAGAAGTTACAGTTTCTCAAGTCGCTCCTGACACCAGAAGTTACTTACAGTTTCTCAAGTCGCTCCTGACACGAAAACAATTAGATGCAATGATTTCTTTGTGA